CTATGGAGACACTGACATGGCATGCAACTTCATGATGGGTCAACAATTTGCCGATCAACTTGGATTGAAGGTGTGTGGGCATTTTTGTTCTCCCCAGACTTGAATAGAGAAGAGCAAGCGCTTCACTCAGCACAAAGCCTTGTTGTTATGCGCCATGCCTATGGTCTCCACCCAAGTCCGCAGCGGTTTTTGCATGTATTGGCCTATACCAATAGGGTAGCGAAGCAAGACACTGAATTCACCCTGACAGTTGGATATGGTAGAAATTAAGTGGACTGAGGACGCGGGCTAATCATGGGCATGTAATTACTGGAGATTGGAGTCAACTCCACCTGGTGATTCGTCTGAGTAAATGTGGCGAAACGAATCACCATTTGTTGTTGCTTATAACTCGTTAAGCAACTAGTAGCATTGTTCTCTTTTTCTCTTGACTCAGTATAAGCCCTCAGTCCGCGAGCTTTAATTGTAATAGCCCCTTCTTGCACTGCATCCACTTGGTCGAAACGCTACTGCTCCCAAATGGCATATATTGCAGCGAACACTCGGCAAAACTCCATGGAAGTTTGACCGCCAAATCGCTGGATTCAAGACGTTATTCAAAGGACTCACCTTCATCACAGGTACGGATTCTACTGTCGAACAGCTTCGTATCACTTTGAAAAAGTTTCCACTCAGAAGTTTCATTTATTGTATTCCAGTACGAGGTGCGGGTCATATGGCACCGCAATGGAGAGCTCCTCAGATGTACTACGCTATTCAACAATTCTTGCTCAATCATCCTATTTAATCTAAGTTCTAAAAATAAATATTGGAATATTTTCTTGAAATTTGTTGGCTCCTTTCATGAGGCAGAAGATTCTTGCGCGAAGGAGGCAACAATACTTTTTTCCATCTGCAATAATAGTTTGAAAACTGTAAAAGCCTTCACAATGAGTTTTTGGCCCGTGAAGTCTGAAGACTTAATGTTTGTGCTAAGGTTAGATGTATTCTTAGCACATCAAGATGACATCATGATGTGGAGGTGTGTGAAACACCTCTCGAAATTTACGAGCTGTTCTCTTCCAATAATCCACTGGAGACGGTTGCGACACAAGCGAATATATGACCATCAGAAAAATCATTTGTGCCAAGAGACAGATATTAAAGAACTTCCCGGCCTCTACCTACGAATGTCGCTCTCTCCTAGACAACCAGAGGACCTAGTGGTTACTGAAACCAAGAAGTTTGGCTAGAAACAGGCATACCTTAAGCGGTGACATTATGGTGAGAGATCTTTTCGAATAAACTCAACGATACATTCATTTCGCTACAATAGCAATGCAGATAGAAGCAACAATATCAAACCTGTCAAATGGGTTATAGCAAGGATATTTATACCACAGGTCTTGTAAAATGCTCAGCCAGAGATGAATTTATACTCTATAAATACGGCTCAAGATATAAACCACTTATTAGATCATTATACACATACTATAGTTACTAATGTTAGTGGTGCAACGACTTGATTTCCTAGTCGGGTTAAGTTGAAGTACTTAGATAAGGTGCCCCTCCTGCCTTTGTAGGTTCGTTCTCTTCCCATATTTTCTGCTGTTAATAGGCCCTTCACCCTGTTTTGTATTTTTGTATTTTTTATTTCTGTATTTCCTGTTGTGTCTATCTATCTAAAGCACGTGCGAAACGGAGGTTGAACTACTTCTTTGATTTGTCTTCATTTAATTTAAAATGTGTCTGAATGGCAATACTTATGGTACTTTATTAAAGAACATTCCAGAAAAAATCACTGATTACCGCGAAATACAGTAATGAAAGTAACTAGTCCTCAACAATCCATATCTTCCTGCTGACCTATTCTTTCCATCCCTAGTTGGCTGATGTCACCGAACGCAGCAGAGCAGGACAAAAACACTGCCTTAATCATCATTTGTCTTCAGAACTCGAACCCTAAACTTCTGAAAGAACGCGAATGTATAATTCGAGTTATTCATCATGGTTCTGAATTGAAGCCGAATGTGTGACACATCCAAAAAAGGTCTGACTGTGAGCGAACATTTCAAACTTCATGATTCTAAACACAATGGTCCTGCATAGAGACGATGAATGACGATATTTTTTTATCTATCTCTTATAGAAATTACGCACCTATGTCGAATACGATATCACTGAAAGGCTGTATAGATGAAGTATTTTGGCGTCAATCAAGCCCATTTCCATTGTGCGCCCTGCATTCGGCTCCGATTCAGAATCGTTGTTACGTTTGGATGCGTATGTGACATCCCCAACAACATGCTGATCCTCTCAGACGAAAATGTTATCAATTGACTCTGGAGATCGAAGTCTCCTTTGCTCGAGTCTTGATCCTTAGTCCGGTCATTGAACGATTCATGTATTATAGTGCGTCCCTATGTAAGGAACTCACCCATGCGCACATACGTAACCTGCTTAGCTAACCATATGAAGACCGAACTGTCCACCCATATTCATCCAATACTTCCTTGGAATTGGAATTCACTCGGCTGCTAAAACACATTGAAGCTCATCATATGTCAAGCTTTAGCATTGGCACTCCTCCCAAACATTCCTGTGCATACCTCGCTCCAACGGTTCAGCACACCAGCGTTGAAGCAAAAAGGACTAAGATGAGTACTATCTGATCAACCGGTTGCGATATCATGAAGCTTCCTGATAGATTAGGCAAATACAAGTAACTAGTTCATTTTGTTAGTATCTCAATGGAACGTTCTGCAACATTACATTGAAATCAGTACTCATCCTTGGGAAAAAGGCGAATGCCGGTGAAACTCGTCCGACGGTACACACGGGCCAATATTTGAGCCTTTATCGCTCCCTAACTAGGTCGCTTTCCGACCTAATACTGCCAGTTATGGTATACGCGGAGCCTCGAATTCATCCTGTG